GAAGAAACAGCCGGGTATCGTGGGTAAAAGTGTTAACACCGCTACGGGCACGCTGAATAAGACTGTTGGGACGACGACGGGTGGTTTGAATACCGTTACCGATTCTGTGACTACGGGTGTGAATAACACGGTTGGTGGCGTGACGGGGTATGCGGGCAAAGGACTTGATAAATTGCCCGGTGGTGTGGGCAAGCCGGTCAAGCATGTAACTGATAATGTGGGTAAGACGGCGACGGGCGCGGTGGATAACGCGTATTACACTGTTGGGTCTGCGACCAAGGGGCTGCAGGGCACGGTTAGTAAGACGACGGGGGCGATTGGTAGGGGTGATGCGAAGGGGACTGTTGCTGGGGCGAGCAGTGGTGTTGGTATGTTCCCCTTTTTTCCTATCTCTTACTCTTACTTCGCTACGTCGATATGCGCTTGTCATGTATGTCTGAACGCCCTTCTAACACCCTCCACAGGCAACACAGTAACAGGCGTAGGCAAAGGCGTCGGCAACACCGTCGGCGACGGTCTCGCTGGCCTGGGCAACACTGTCGGCGGCCCTGTCGGCGGCGTCGTCGGCAACGTAGGCAAAGGTGCTAACAACGCTGTTGGCGGCATCACCAGCGGCGTCGGCGACGGTGTTAGTAAGCTGGGCAAGGGCGATGTGATTGGTGGTGTGGGCAGTACCCTGGGTGGTGTGGGAAAGGGTGTGGGTGGCCTGTTGGGCGGTATCACGGGGTATGGAGAGGATAAGGAGAAATGAAGGTGCAAGGTTGAGAGGTGGTTGGCGGGGGTTGAGGAGGGTGATGAGGGAGTGGAAGAGTTGGAGGAGGGACAGGAAGAGAAAAATAAAGAAGAAGACGCAAGAGAGGGCGATGGTGTGCGCGTAGAAGGAGGAGAAAGAGAAGCGAATGTGAAGGCCGATGTTGTTGAGGAGGAGGGGTTGAAAGCAGATTCCGTGCATGGCGGAGGGGGATAGTAAGGAAACCTGATATTATCGCATGTACGTCTATGTAAACTGTTATTCATCATTACTGTTAGCTTACCAACATCTCCTCTACGTCTTCCCAAAGCTTTCTAATGCTCGAAACGAAGAGAGAGAGAGAGCGGCAAGGTATGCGGGCGGCATGTCCCCCTATCTCACAATAGAACCCAACGCCATATTCCAAACCCACCGGCAGAAACGGCGCTGTGTTGCACAGCCTAACTAACGCTCATCCGCCCTCCTCGCTTGGAAACAAGCCACAACTGGCACGAAACCTCGCGCTGATCACTTTGGAGAAATAACGCCGAATCCGCTCCTTCTGCGGTGGATATATTATACGCGGTATACGGTATTGCGGGACTGGGTTTGGGGCCTGAGTTCGGGGGTTGGTCTTGTTTTGATGGGTTTTGATGGAGGGGGTGTAGTTGGGTCTTGAGAATGAGGTGATGGGATGAGAGGTTGGGGGAAGGGGTGGTAGTGATGATGCTGCTTGTGGTATGGGAGGAGGGCAGCCCGTGGACGTAAAGACTAGTGAAATGCTGTGTGAGGCATTTTGCGGTAGACTTGCAAGTCTTTTCCACGTTGCCATGTTCAAGTCGTATGCACCGTATGTGAAAAAGGTCGGTGGTACTTAATCATCCACGCTATCTCACCCCAAACCCAACGAATTACCAAGCTCCCCATCTGGTTACCCAACGGCCCTTTCCAGCACGCCTAACACACCGGCTTTGGTCAAGAAATTGAACCACAAACCTGCGCCTCTTTTTGCGTCGTCACCTCAGCCACTAACCCAGCACCACGTCGGCGCTTGCCCCGCTAACCATCTCGTGTTCCCAAACGCACTCACCCAGAATTGTAATTATTCGCGAACTGGACTTTCGGAGTCTACGCCGGTCCGCGGTGTTATGGACGCAGGTCTAAATGTCCGATATACGCTGCGGGGGCTGTGATAGGTAGGGTAGGGTCGGTTTCGAAACTTGATTAGGCTTTCGGGAGGCACGTTGCGTCCGGACAGGGAGGGGTGTGAGGGATTTTGAAGGGCTGCATGGTCTGAGAGCCGGGAATATCGTGGCTTGCGCGTCAGGGTTTGTGGAGGGATAAGCTTTTTGAGAATGCTTGGTATCGTTTTGACAGGTGTCTAGGAAAGCTTGGTATCATGGCTGGTGACGATCGGGGAGTCGTTGCTCCTATCAGCTTGGAGATGGGACTTTTTGATCAGGCGATTTGCTGCTTAGCTTGCATACATGGGCATACCTGCACCACTTTGCTTTCGTGGCATCAGTTGCACGCAGCAAACAATTTCCCCTGAGGAAGACATCAGGCAACATCTCACGACACGGCACACTCAGCCAGCTATTCCCGGCTTTAACACTGCAGCACGATCCCCAGGATCCCCCCAAACCACTCTCGTAACCTTCCAGATTTGTTTCGCGCATCATCAGCCCTTTTTGACGCCAGCGCGTCGACTCAAGCCACAAGCACAGACACGGAGAGCTTACGCACTAACCCCATCCCAGCCGCAAACCAGTCGATCAGGGACCAATCCGCCTACATCCCTCGCAACGTGCACGGAAACGTGTGGCTGAGCTAGGCAATTATCACCGGCACTATCCTCCCTTCACGAAACGTGTGGAACAATAGCGCGTGCGACGACACCGTACCGGTGTTCCTTCTGGCGACGGTCTTGAAGCTGGAAATGTGACTATCGGAACTATTGGCTCGCCGGAGCCGGCGTATAGGATGACCACCGTTTCCGGGCGGCCGCTCATGCAGCAGCGTGAATATCTGTCGTGTGAGACTTGATTATGTGCCTGGGAAAGTCAGGATCGCTGCAAGGGTCCTGAGCTCTCGTGTGTGGAATTCACTCACATCTGGGCCCCCCCAGTTAAGTTACCGAGGTTTAGCGCCACGCGAGGGTGAATGCAAGCTTGCGCATACATGCCCTGGTTCCAACGCTCATACCCACGCTTGTTTCGAACGGGTTCATAAGCCACTTCTGTCGCCCCCTCGACTGTACATGTGGCTCACGACGATTGTTACTTCAAGGTACGCAGATATTATTCATTGGTGAGTTGAGGATTGGGGGTGTTGTCTGTTTCGCTTAATCAAGAGGAGCAGATGTACGAGAGTGAGGGCTGCGCTAACGAGGGTCTAGATTGCTGCGCATAGCTCTTGGACCATATTACCTCCAACCCAAAGCAGCAGGTTGACTCTATATCGTGAGGTTTCTCCGCTCCGCCGCTGCGAATCTAGAGTCCGTTGGGTTTCCTCGTTTCGCCCAAATTCAACGCCCGCGATTTCAACCGCAACAACGAACCAACCTGCCAAACACACGACTACAACAACCATGCCGTCCAACCGACGAACCCCCCTCCTCCTCACCATCATGGCCCTCACCAGCGCATCTCTTGCCGCCCCCACACAACCTCACCCTACACCCCAACTAGAAGACCTCCAATGCCGCTGCCTCACCTTCTCCACCAGCCGCACCCCAACCCCATGTTCCTACCAAGAGCTGCTCACTCTAGACTGGGAAGCCGCCTTCTCCCTCTCCATCACCAACGCGCTCCCCATCCAATTCGCCAGCCAAACTACCATGGACACCTTACTCTCTATCCCAAAGCCGCTCCCGCTTGACCTGCTGCAGAGTATGCATGAGGGAGGGGAGGTTAGTCCTCTGGATCCGAGCAGCGGGGTCACAAGTGAGAATAGGGTTGTCTGTGGGTTCGGACAAGAGGTTGACGGGGTGAGTGGGAGGGGGAGGGGAGGCGTCGAGCAGGAGGTGCATTATGTGGGGACGGTGCTGGGGCTGTTTATGTTGGCTACGATGGTTTGGGTTGCGGGGGAGTGGGCGTGGATGAGGTGGGTTGCTGACGGCTTCCGAGAAAGAGACTTACATGCTAATATCTGGTACAGGTTCTTCTCGAGGACTGGAGCTATCATGCTGGAGGGCGACGAGAAGGCTCTAAGAGCCGAGTTCGACGCTCTGACAGCTGAGGTCAAGGCTCTGACCGCAGAAGTCAAGGCCGAGACGAGGAGGATGCCTACAGACTACTCTTGAGCAAATTCGACATGATCGGCTATCTGGTCGAACTACAAGACTATGTCAACATGTTCATTACGGGATTCCCATCGAAGCGGCGGCCTCATGGCACTCACACCCCCTCCCCTACCGGAAACAAGGACCACGACAGAGAAACGCTCGCACGACCTACTTCCTACCTACCCACCCACTACTAGTCATGATACCCTATTATTGCTATATCCTGGAAAATGAACCAGTTCACACTGCCTTCAATGGACACCCCGCTTCGTGTCTTCTCAGAGACACACATGGCGCGATGTCTCTCGCACGGCACCCCGCGTGGCTGCGCAGACCACTGCTTCTACACATACGCTTTCGCACTCTGTTCAGTGCATACCCCTCGCTTGGTGTCCTGACAACGGATTGGTATGAAGGCACCAGCATTGTCAGACATTGGACTTGCAGAAGGAGAGCCAGTGCCGTGACAATAGCCAGGGACAGGAAGGCGTGAGGGTGGTCTGGGATTTGCTTTGGAAGTTAGACGAGTCTACGAGATTTTGTAGCAATAGCGAAATGTTCACATATATCCATCCTTTTCTTTCATGTGTTTGCACCTACTTCAACCATCACGTGGCTAGTCTGCTATGTTGGGAATACAGCAATGCCACAAACCATGCATGTCACGTCGCAGAGTGACGCAAAACAAAATACACCGATGCATGCAAGTTTCATAGGTTTAGAGATTGTACATTTAGAACCAAAGTCATTTTATACTTGACTCTACATAGTATCCTGATCGGTCTGGTTTTAATCTCACTTCGCTCCTCTAGAAACCCCTTATCTGCTAGACAACGAAAACTCCAAAAACATGCACGCAAAATGGGGTATAAACGCTTTCAAAAGCTTTCTCCCGCCTATACTCCAGAAGATTGTTGAATGACGGACGAAGATCGACCGGTTGGTATACATGTAAAGTATGCGAGCGAGTCCGAGACATCAAGCTCAATGCGCCGATTCCGGGTACGAAAGTTGGATTTTGGGTTCGTAAAGCCTGCCAGATTTTGTTAGTACTCATAATCTTCACTCTGTACTTGAGATCGAAGCAACTTACATGAACGTCTCATACCGCACACCCCTCCTCCTCACCCTATTCCTCTCTTTCGCCATCCCATCCTCCCCACTCCCAGCAAACAACACCGGTTCCCAATCAACCACATCCCTCCACCTCTTCATGAGCTTCCGCCAATAACACGCTTCCGCCGCTTGCGTCAGATATCTTTCCCTGAATACCTGCACCGAGTTATCTGCTATGCGCTTCGCCTTTTCAGGGTGGTCGAGCAGATCTTCCATAGCGGATGCTAGATCGGAAAAGTCGCGTTCGACTTCGACGAAATTCTGGTTGGAGCCGTTGGAGCGGAAGAGGTAGTGGTGGTGTTGTATCCATTGGAGTTTGTGCGAGACGATTACGGAGCGGCAGAGTTGGCGGTATTTGAGGGAGCCGGAGTAGGAACGTCCTGAATGGGGTTGTTAGTATGCACAACTCTGTTAGTGGTTGGGGGTATAATACCTTCAGCGTGCGCAATGAACATGTAATTACACTGATCCACCGGCCCGAGAAACTGCTCTTTGAAATTTGGATCCGTCCATTTGAGTTGACCAACGTCGCTCCATGGCTTGCCTTTTGCTGCATCGAGGAGCGCTCTCCGCAGCTTAGGCGCGAAAGTGATTTTGCCTCTCCAGACTAGCTTCTCGATCTTTTGGTCCCACGACTCGACGGCTTCCCGTTGTACTGCTTCTTGAGCGACTTCGTCTAGTGTTCCCAGCGCGGGCATGTCCCAGCTCCAGAAGCCAAAGTCGGGTATTAACCAGAGGTTGTGGTCTTGGACGCGGCGGGTGAGGGACCATATCGGTTTGTGGGGTTGCGCAGGGAGGTCCTCTACGGAGAAGACGAATTCGATGTTTGGGATGTCGGCGGTTGAGGGGGCAGCGAGAACGGCGCGGTACATGGCGCTGAGAGTTGCAATGGCTTTTTGGCGGTTGACGTTATCGACCATGTGAGTCTCGAGGATGTAGAGCTGGTATATGTTAGCATGCGCTCAGCACTTTCCAATTGTCCAGGACTCAACAAACCTCTCTATCATAAACCATAGCCCTGACCATTCCCTTCGTAAGCTCGAAGCTATTGAGATCCGCCTGCGTCACCTTACCCCAGCGACTCCGCACCTTGACCGCACGCTCAATATCCTCATATTGCCCCGGAAAAGCGCTATCGCACTGCGCCTCATCTAGCCCATAATTATTCTTATCCCTTGGATACGTAAAAGTCCACAGTCCATGTTCCTCCAACTCAGTCGCATTAGTTGTGAGAATAGCCTGGTTTGCGGCGCAATCGAGACAAGTGTCGCAGGAAAAAGTCGTACTGAACTCGCATAAGCAGCGGCCGGCGGGCATGTACTCCTTGACCAGCGGGGGCAAGGACGGGTTCTGTGTGCGCGTGCCGTAGAGAATAGTGCAGATGATGAGGAAGAGGAGGGCGCATGCCGAGACGAAGAAGAAGGAGAGGACTTCTCCGCCAGTCGGACAGCGGCGACGGTATACAGTCTTGTCCTTCCGCTCCTCCACTATCCACATCTTCTTCATGAGCATGGGTGCTAGCGGGATCCGGGCGACGTGAACCGGAGCGACGATTGGGGGTGCGGGTAGCGTGGACACGCGAGCGAAATCGGTCGCGCGTGTCTATATTATCGAAATTGGGGAGCTTCGGAGCGTGGCTGGAGGCGACATGGATGGCGACACTACCAATATGAATATGTACAAGTGAAAGGGAAGCGAAGCGCTATGACGGCGTCGACGAGGAACGAGGGTCGGCACGCGACTGGCAGAGGTGAAGGGTTCCCAAGACGGTTGTGAAAAAAGAAGAGGGGCGGCGATGGGGACAGCCGGCGGGAGGAATGACGATAGACGCTTCACGGTGGAGTTGGCATGGTGATGGACAAGACGGGTTGCCCCCAATGGGAGATACGGTGAGGGCGTTGCGGAGTGCAGTGCGCGGCGGGATATTTAGATCGGTCAACGCTTAGTACATTACAGTAGTACGTATGACAGGGGCGAGAAGGTACCGACGCCTCCTCGTCGTTACCTCAACACTATGTCTCCAGATTGTTCGCAAGCAGATACTCTAACCTCGAGTGCAAAAGCTAGAAGAGTATAGACTACATCTGCATACAATACTGCACAAACGACCTCAACCACACACGCCCCGCCTTCCCCACGCGCTGTCCCTCGCATATCAAGCATTCGGCTGCACCCGCTGCACGATGCGAATACGAGCATAGGATCCTCGTCTATCAACTTCAGGCCCCCCGTGCCACTACCCTCCTACATGTACAACCTCAATCCTGCATTGCGTGACTGCATCCGTCGTGAGATGCGACCCTGCGCGCGCTTACCTTGGAACTGTTGAAGCACGCGCGGCCTCTAGCACCTGCCAGCCCAATCCAGTAAGGTGGCGCACGCGACCCACCTGCATTTCCTTGATATGTCATTCAAGCCACCTGCTTCAACGTGTCTCAACTATTGTCGAGACTATTGACCATGGCAATAGTGTAGGTATCATCATTATACCGGACTGCGAGCTCATGCATTTACATTTAGCTCCATACGAGTAGGTACAGTAGGACGCGTACGTCTTCTCATAGCGCATATACACATACTTGGTTGGTAGCGTCCCGCGGCAGTTGAAATGTAACCGACGTCAAAGCAAGTGTTGATCCATCGGGCATTAAATTCTTCTGCGTTTGTGGGTCGTGAGCCAGTTCCATGGTTGTCACACTCGTGGGTAAGTGGGTCACCCGTTGCATGTCTGCATCTGCGCAAGTGCCGGTTGTGGAGTACCCTTACATCATCGTACCATGTTGTGTGTGATGGGTGGAGCATACGAGAGTCATGGCAGATGTGAGGACGTTGGCTTTATGATTTTGATGGACATGCAGTCGAACGTGGCAGATAAAGATTTCACCCACATCCACGGAACAGTAGTCAATCACAGGATCCTCGAATCCCATACAATGCATTCACAAACTCCCCAAAACCGGCGCTCAACCCGTTGTACCCTACGAGGAGGCCATCAATGCTACGCGAAACACCTAGATGCAATAGTCGAGACCAACAAAAGAGACACTAAAACCATGTAACGTGAAGAAGCCACACTGAAGACGATTGGGCAAAAATATGGATAAAAAGGCTATGTACATGAGAAGCCCATAAGTAGTGAAAGAAGCTCGAAAAAGAAGGTAAGTAGGCAAAGAAGGGAGAAACAAGAGCCTAAGAAGTTGAAATCGCTGGGTGCTTCCATAGCAACCCAACGAGAAAAGTGGGATCAGCGACCAACAAGCCCTACAACAGACTGCAGGGAACATGTAAAAATGCCGAATGTATACGGCGGCGCTGATCCTCACCTGTACAAGACGTCTGTCGTCTACGCCGACAGAACATGCATATCCTCCTCATCCGCATCTTTGCGGATACCAAACGGTTGAAAGGCATTTGTCTTGCCTTTGTGAGCGTGTACCGCGAGTCCCATTTCGCGCATGCGTTCTGCACCGCGACCGGGAGCAGGACGCTTTTCTTTGGCACCTTTGCGGTGTTGCTTGCGGTACAGCTTCTCCTTGCGTCGTTGCCTCTTCTTCTCGAGCCCGACTTTGATGTCGATGGCGCGGCGGATGGGCATGTCGGAGCCGTCGGCGTCTTCGTCCTCGTCGAGGTCGAATGGGTTGCGCATGGTGATGGGGGTGCGTGGGACGGAGGCTGAGACTGTGGGTGCAGGGCGCTCGGCAATGCCGGCGAAGCGGATGGATGTCTCGCTGCGTTGACGCGTGGTCATGTTCACAGGGTTGACGGAGCCGCGACGTGTAGGTGGTGGAGACCTGAGGCGCATTGGAGGCGGAGGAGAATGGTGACGCTTGGGGGAGTTTCCAAACAGCTTGCGTGGTGGCGGAGACCGGTGCACAGCGCGCTTTGCGGGTGGAGGAGATCGTAAGCGCTTCGGTGATGGCAGAGGAGAACGCTTCTTTGAAACCTCTTTGCGGCGACCTCGTCCATCGATGTTGACGGGGTCCATGCGGCCATGAATCATGAGATGATCAGTCTCGGAAGCTTTCTCATCTTCAGAGACCTCATCCTCATCATCGTCAGGAAGCTCCGGATCCGATGTCGGGAACGTAGGGTCGATGTCCTGTGGAGTAGGCTTGTGCTTGGCCGCACGTCGACGTTCGAGTGTCGACATGTACGCCGCTTCAGCCGGCCTGTCCTCATCAAGTGTACCGCAAACAAAGTCTGTGCTGTCTGGCAGCTCAGGGGTGGGAACGCGGATGTTGACCGGCTTCGATGACTTTCTGCGCTTGGAAGGCTTGTCCATGATCTTGAGACCCTCGCGGCTCTCCAAAGACCCAATCGATGATTCAGAGACGGTTCGGTGAGTCTTCAGTCGAAGCTGTTCCAGATGCTCTACAGATGTCGCTGCAGTTGATGCTCCAGGCGCCCACCAGTCGTAGTCAGACCCGGCATCGCTATCATCGTCTGAGACGGCAAATCCGTTCTCATCATCAGTCTGGAAACCCTCATCAGTCGCATCGCTGTACGCGGCGTCTTCATCCTCGTCTAGCAGATCGTCATCGTCGTCATCCATTTCGACGTTGTCCTCATCGTCGTCCTCGTCCTCTTCATCGATGGCTTCCTCTTCTGCAACCTCCTCGCCCAGCTTTCGCAGGTTGTTCTCAATCTTGAGCGTATCCTGAACCGTAAGCCGGCTTCTATGGCAGGTAACTTCTTGAGTCCACTCTTCGACCTCCTCTTCTGAGCTAGCAAACTCGTGGAACCGGTATGCTTCACAGCGGGCAAGGTCGGAGTTGGAACTCAAGCGCCGCGTGTGATCAACCGGGCGGACTTTACGCACGCTCACGGGGGAGTTGTTGCGGACTGTAGAATCGGAGTCGCGATGGACTTTGGTGGTTGGCTTGGGAGACGAGGGTATCCGGCGTGGTGGCGGTGCGGGGCTGGCCATGCGGCGGGGTTTCGGCGCTGCTTCTGTAGATGGCTTGGACGGGCACGCGAACTTGATGGTGCAGACGCGCTTGGGAGGTTCCTCGGTCTGTGGAGCAGGCACAGGCGCTGGCTTTGCAGGTACCTCTGCTGGCTTCTTGTCCTCCTTGGGCCCGCACGCAAACATGATGCGCCTCTTCCTTCCCAGAACAGCCTCGATGCTCTGCTCGGTGCTCTGAGCAGGCGCGGTCTTGGGTACTGGGGTGATGTTCTCGTCGTCGTGTGAGACCACGGAGATGGGTAGCTCCAACGGCTTGTTGTTGAACGTGGGCAGCATGCTGTGGAACGCTGCCGAAGGAAGTGGCGGGCTCGGCGTGCAGGGCCGTGTGCCAGGGCTCGTGAAGCCTCCATCGCTAGTGAGATCTGCGGTGCCACTGTTGTTACTCCATGTCGAGACGCACGACATGCCGCGGACGGGGCTCGCATCCGAGTGTTCCTCAACAGGCGAGCTCGCATTCGAGCCCGACTTGAGCGCGGAGGTGAGGAGCGATGCTTTGCGATCGATTACGGGTTTCGATTTAGTGAAGGATGTGGAGGAGGAATGCTGGAGCACCAGGGGCGCAGGGCGTTGCGCGCGAGGTTCAGGGGGTTCGTCTAGGTCGCCGACCGCCTCCTCCTCTGCCGTCATATCTGGCGGACATGTGTTCGACATGTTCTGCTGTGTGTTTACTTGCAACGCGCCCTGTCTAGCAAAGTAATCCTGCTCGTTCGCCATGTGTTCTGTAGTCGGTGGTGTATCGATCGAGGAACGTGCGTGGGGTCGGTGCAAGGTCGTGTATCAGATTCAATTGCTGAGTGCGAACAATATTTCGAAGTGATGCCGTAATAGTGAAGTTGTGTGGTCGTGATGCAAGCGGGTGAGGCGTTTCACGATTTCTTTTTGGCGCAATGCACCTGCGGCAGCGTTCCTGGACCCTCGTTAGAGCAGGCGGCGTGCTGTGTCGATCGTGTCGAGTGCAATGCAATTAGAGGCGGTTCGGCGGATTACTGCTGGGCGGTATGGATGGGTGTGTGGGAGAGTGGGGCCCCAGTGAGGCGAAGTGTTATAATATGGACAGAAACATGGTGGAGCAGTGTGTGAGGAGCCTTGGGTGGAACTAGAAGCGGGCTCGAAGACGTGTCAGAAGCGACAAGCGTCGGGCAGTGTCGAGTGGGAAGGGGTACCTGGAGAGGATGAGGTCGAGTTCCCACAGCGACAGCGACGTGTGGCGACGGGCCGCAGGCTAGCAGAGGGCCCGTTGACAAGTGCGCGAGTGAGCGGTGCTAGGGAGGGTGCAGATCGAAGGCCAAGCTGTGCTGTCAGGCGACTTCAGACTGCAACAGTAGTGGCGCAACACAGGTGGGACTGGTCGTAGGAGAGAGGGAGCGAGGAATTTGATATGCGCTCTGGCGGCTCGGCACCAGAAGGTCTGCAAAGCACAAACAGTGGGTAGCCGGCATTTTAATTCGCGCCCACGCCCGCGCAGCCAATGCCACGCCCGGCCTTTGTCAATTGTGCACTGGTCTAGCAATGCACCTGCTCACGCTGCCACACCTGCCCTTCCGTGACACGAGCCCTCTGGCCGTCAGATTCGGCAATCTCTGCGCGCAGTCACCCTCACTCATCAACAATCAATGAACTTTGTTGCGACCGTTGTATTGCTTTGTTATCGCCTTTGTTGTTGATTATTGACTTCCTCCCCTTGTCAGTGCGGAGATGACATCTGCGACTAGAATACTCCAGCACCTAGGAGTATGCCAAAGCAGGTTTCATCCCTCCAGCACAGCCGATGCAAGACGCAATCGAGCAGCGCAGCCCATGCAATGTTGAATTCCGCAAGCTTCGGAAGCAGGACCCTGATCAACGCGACGCCGCCGACAACGCCCCGCTAGCCAGCCCTCACACCTTCTTTTGTACCATCTGTCCGACGTCGCATGCATCAACACGACCACATGCACGCCCTCTGCTCAACCCCAAGCACAGCGGCTTGATGCCATTTTCCTCAAATGCCTCATTCCTCGCCATGTCTCCATACCTCCTTCTCCCTTCTCTCAGCTCCACATGGCAGCTTCATCTCTTGCTACCACCTCCACACCGCTACTTGACCGCTTCTCCTACACCCGCGCCTCACCTTAGTCCAAGAAGGACGCGTCTACCTGTAGAAAGTAGTCCATCATCTGACTCCATTCAAGCCTCAAGAACGGGATACCGGTTTAAACCACCGTGCTCTGCCGCCAATCTGCAGCTGCACGATACTTGTCGTGCAGTGCCCAGCAAGAGGGTCCATCTCACGTCTGGGGTTCCGTTCGCTGAGACGCAGTATAACATTTCGCCAGCAAGCGCCTCAGCCGGCTCCAAACGAGCCTGTCCCAATCGCCGACATTGTATTCGCGGGGAAGGCACCCGTACCCCATGACGCGTGACGCTCCTGCTTAACAACCCCCACGCGTGGTTTTCGCGCCAATCAATACCAGCGTCCTGTTGCTTCGTACTTCTCCATACATACGTATCTGCTACGGCTGTGTAGGAGGAAAAGGTACCCCACACAACTTACGCAGTGTACAGTACGACAGCTTGGGTATTACCCGGTATCCGGCACGGCTTGCTACTTGCGGTCAGGCCTGAACAGCTGTCTGCCGTCCTCTTACATCTAATCCTTGTCTCTGCATCGCGATATGACGTAGTTCCTCCCTTCATTCCCGAACAACCGATCCTCACATGCGCGTGATATCAGCAGCGTCGTAAACACACATACATCGACGCTCTCCTCCACCACGACCACGTGTTGGAATGTGGAGAGACGGGCGTTCAGCGTTCAAGGTTGCTCTTACCCCTCATTTGCTAGTTTGACTCCGCAGCGGCGCGCGTACTAATGTTGCTTGCTTGCGCCATACTTGCCTGAAGTGTGCAGTGTGGTTTCAAACTGGCTAAAACGTTAGAAGCCGAGTTACTCGTCGCGACATGCGAAGAGCTAGCAGTGACAGACTGGGATGTTGCTTTGCTGCGAACAAGACCCTTTGATCCGTAATGGGTGAAGAAGTATATCAACAGCACTACAGTATGTCTGCACACCTCTAGACCTGGCCGTTCACATCGTACTATCATTCCACATCACCAGACACTCTATCCCTCCTTCCCCCCCTTCTCTACCGCACCAATCCCATCTCACCCATCACCCACCGTCACACAACAACGTCCCCGTCCCGTTCATCCCGCACCACTTGCGCTGTCAAGCCAAGCCGCCTAAGCAACACACAACCTTCCCCCCAAGACACTCCTTACTTCAGCCAAGCGCCTCGGCATTTCTCCTAGTCATCTGCTTGTTTCACGACCCGCTGATCGAGTGGGAGTAAGACCGAATACAGGAGACTGAAGGGCATATATGTGGGAAGCTGGGGTGGTTCTGGGGATTGGTTGTGAAGGTGTGAGGGTGTGAGGATTACGGGGTACGGTAGGCGTATAGGGAGTGTCTGGGGTCTGGGTTTGGGTTTGGGAGGTTGTGTTTATGTGCTTGTCTTGTGTGGGAAGTAGGAGCGTGAAGTGTCTGGTGTGTTGTGCGGTATGTATTTATTGGAATAGATGCTCACTGTCAAATATAGATGTATAGACGCTTGTCTCGTACCTGAACCAGTCTGTGTGCAAAGGTCTCGCTTTTGTACTAATGACTTTATTACAAAACGTACAACTCTCTATACTGACGCTGCATGCACGTCAATAATACCACCTAGAGAATACTGACAACACCCATCCACTACCCCCCTCACACATCCTCACCAGGTATACTCAGCCTCCTCAACTCCTGAATCTGATTCCCCAGCTGCCGCTTCTCAACCTGCAACTCCTTCTTCCAATTATCCCTGACAAAATCCAGCGTCCGTGCAAACACCAGGTCCCTCTCACTGCGCTCATGCTGAGGCACAAAAGTATCCGGGAACTGCGTCCAACCATGTCTGCACCCAGGCGCGTGCCACACTTCCATGCCTCCGTTCTGGCTACTGGGCACATTGTCCGATCCCGCTTGTCCACCTTGGCGTCCGTCCCAGTCGCCTGAGCGCCCGTCGCCGAAGCGTACAGGCCCGTTCCAGTCGTTGTTGTTCATCTTGTCGACCCAGACGTCGCTTTGCACGGCTAGGGTGTCTTTTTCGGGTAGGACGAGGAGGATGGCGGCGTTCTTCTGGATGTGCATTGGGTCGTTCAGGCCGGGGCTGGCTCGCGGGTGCGGTCGTAGTTTGCGCGGGAGGTAGGTCGGGCCCATGATGGAGAATAGGCCAGGTGCTTTCGGCTTCTGTTTGTGGTGGTCGTCTGGTCGCAGCGCATTGGGTAGTGGCTTCATGGGACGCTCGTGTGGGAGTAGCCGTGCGTCGAGCGAAGGGTAGAATAGGAGGAGCGGCAGCATGCGGGGCTGTGCTTGAGGGGGAGGAAGGAGAGAGGGCCACGACTCGAAGGGATCGTCTAGGATCGTGGCTCGGCGGTTTTCGGGCATGATGGGCGACATGGTGTCTGCATGCGCAGGCTCATTCGTGCGCGAGCGAGGACCGAATGTAGTCGACATGCCGAGCTCAGGACAGGGCGGTACTGATATAGCCATGTTCAAGGCAATATTTCCTCCTGCCGAAAAGCCTGAGATCGCGAGACGTGTAGGGTCGAGGGTGATGGTCTTGACGTGCTCGAGATGTGTTGCAAGAGGTTCCTTCTTCTTCTTTTCCAGTGCGCCATCCCGTACTATGGAGTAGTATCGCTGAATTTCCTCTCTAAGGACCTTGCCGGCTTTCGAAACTCCACTCGTGTCTAGGATCGCGGACAGCACGTCTTCCGCGTCGTGAATAGCGGCGGGGAATTGGTGGAAGGGTCCGATGCGATAGGACACGCTGATGACTACGGCTCCGAGCTCGCGCGACATCATCGACGCATACGGGGCTTGCTCCAAGGGCGATCCCATTATGAAGCCTCCGCCTGGTTTTGTTAGTCATGAGCGTCCTCGGAAACATTCCGGCTTCCCTACCATGAAAATCCAGCACCACAGGCACACGCCATTCCCCAGTCTCTTTCCTCTCCTGGTCGCCATTGCCCTCAAGATCGACCGGTTTCGGCGGAACAAAGACGTAGCAGTAGATGAGGTTGTCCTTCCGACTCGGCAGCGATATGAGGAAAGGATGCGGCCCCTTAGGCGACGTGACGTGTAGGATGGAGAGAGGAACGAATCGCGGTATTTGGACAAGCGCAGTGCTGGATGCAGTCAGTGTCGGCCTCGCGCATTAATCATTACGGAATATCCTACCGCCATTGTATGTGGAAGGGGAGGCGGAAAAAATAGGCAATCGAATGAAAATAGCTGCTCATCGTGATTATGACATGGAGGTGGACAGGGCGACGGCGTTCATGACGCGGAGGACTCGTTGTATGCGGCTGCGTCACGCATTGAATGCTGAGTGAGCAATGTGCGTTGCGCGTTCAAAAGGACTAAGGGGGACGCGGACTGTGTGCCCAGCTGGAAGGCACGGAAGCCATGGTCGGGTGTGACGTCAGATGTTTTCCGCGCTGCGATGCGTTACAGGGAGATCGTGCGTTGCCGAAATTGTTGATGGTGTTTCAAGCCGGCCCCGGCTAGGCCAAAGCTTGATTGCGCGAAGCATCGCAGGGGTCATCCACCACACCTAGGCACTTCCCATTAGCACTGTCTTGTGTCAGTTCATGCCCAATGTAGATGCCTTCTGGTCCTGATTTTGACAACTCCGGGGCATACGGCTATGCGAAAGGACCCGTTCAAGTGAGCGCGCTTGTTACTACACCTGGAAATGTCAAGAGTAACGAACGTCACATCACGAAAGCATTGGGAAGCACATGAATTACAGATTTACTCTGAGATTTGATATATGTAGACTAGCTGACCATGAACATCATGCCACATATCAGCGGTACTGCACCCTGCAACTTATATGCAAGGCCCTGGACCACCGCGAAGGAGAAGTCGTTTTCGCGTCATGTCGTGAAGCGTGAATCGTTGGCGCAAGCACTCAGCCTGAAGCCGTGGAGGCGCAGGCGACGAAAGCAAGCCGCATGAAGCAGGCTAGCTAAGCACTTTTGGAAGACGGTGAAGGACTGTGGAGAACCAAAGCAGCTTACCAGGCAGCGGCCTTGTCGTCGGCATCGGCATCAGCAGAGAAGCCTCCTCCACCTCCACCGAATCCGCCGTCATCGCCACCGAATCCAGTATCAGCGGCAGCCTCTCCACCGAAGCCAGTAGCCTCAGCGTCGAAACCTCCCGCGTCACCACCGCCAAAGCCACCACCAAGATCGTCATCAGACTCATCGTCAGTGCCGTCGTGCCACTCGATAGTGTTGGGATCCTCGGGCATGTGCTCTTGGAGAAACTCTGGAATTGTCTGCTTGCTCTCGCACAGAATCTTGCAGAGGTCTTCGCCAATATCTTCATTGCGGTCGTTGAAGAAAGACGTCGCCTTGCCCTCATTACCGATACGCGCGGTACGGCCAATGCGGTGGATATACTCAGTAATGCCGTCATGCATAGTGGAAGGAAGATCGTAGTTGATTACATGCTTGACGTTGGCGACGTCCAGACCACGCGCAGTGACTCCGGTAGCGACGAGAATGGGGCAGCGGCCGGTACGGAATGAGCGAAGAGCATCTTCGCGCTCACGCTGTGTGCGGTCTGAGTGGATCGAGGTGACAGGCATGCCCTTGTTGTAAAGGAAGTCATCGACCATGTCGCACTTCACCTTGGAGTTGGTGAAGACGAGGGTACTGCAGTGACAGAGTTAGCATCTTGCGCTCGTCGTAGATGTCAGAGGGGATTGTACGTACCGCTGAGGGCCTTCACTGAAGATCAAGTCAAACAGTGCCTGGCTCTTGGCACTCTCCTCTGCGAAGATGACCTGCTGGGTGATGTTTTGATGGGTGCTGCCAACCCTACCGACCTCTGTATATTGTGAGTGGGTTGTTGGTTAAATTGAGGAAGTGGAAACATACTGATCCGGACGCAATCCTCGTCCATGTATTCCCGAGTCAGGCGACGAGCTGACTTGGGGAACGTGGCGGAGAACATGAGATACGTGTGGTCGGCGTCGTCGTTCTGGTCTAAGCGGTTGTCAGTATGTGATACAAAAGATGATCCAGCAAGTAGTTCTTGGAAGTCCATATTGGGAAGAGTGTGTCGACATACCTGAACCAGCGAACAACTTCTCCATAGCCTCTTCCCAACCAGTGGAGAGAAGCTCGTCGGCCTCGTCAATTACGGTGAACCTGTTCGTGTTAGTCAGTTATAAAGTACCTTACAAAATTGCTTGACTTACTTCAGGCGGTTGAAGGACAGCAGGTTGATGTTAGACATGAAGTCCATGAGGCGACCCGGAGTCGCGATGAGAATATCACAGCCCATCTCGAGCTGTTCCCGCTGATTCCTGCTGGGGGCGCCACCGTAGATGACGCAAGGACGCAGCATAGTACGGTAGCACACTAAACGGAGGGTATGAAGTCAGCATGTGTCTCACATGAATTTCGTACCGGGGTACCTACGACGACGCGCCTCGTCAAAGATCTATCACGAAACCAGGTCAGTGTACGTTCAGCATGTACTTCATATCATGGAAACTTACCTGACAAGCAAGCTCACGCGTAGGGCAGACGACCAGGACGAGAGGCTCCGCACGGACTTTGTCGGTGAGAGGGTTGTAGCGGACCGGGTTGGGGCGCGGCGCAGCGAGTTGACGGGCCTTGCCCATGAGCTTGGACAGAATCGGGAGGAGAAACGCAGCAGTCTTGCCGGAACCTGAATAGTGTTAGTAGGAAGTAGAGTGAGTACAGACGAGGCGACTTACCAGTCTGTGCAACGGCGACCACGTCGTGTCCAGTTAAGATAGCAGGGATGCAGTAGGACTGAATCGGGGTCGGGGCATTGTACTGGCACAACTTGACGTTGTCAAGCATGATCGGGTGGAGACCGGCATCTTCGAACTGACAAAGGTTAGCAAAGAAGCACGCGAAGACCTGCAGGCCCAAGTTTCAGTGACTTACGTTGCGGACGGGGCTGATCTTGGTGGGACCCGAGAGAGTCACGTCGAACGAGAGCGCCTTGATTGCACCACCGGCGCGCTGGAGATACTGGTCGGTGAAGAGCATCTTCTCGAGCTCAGGGTTGGGCTCTCCAACATCGCCGAACTCGTCGTCCCACTGGTAAATAGCAGCGTCCGAGAGCCAGACAGCAGTGTCGCGAGTATCGTCCTCGGCAGGAGTGCCACCAACGACTGTCTCATACTGGAAGGGAACTGGGTTGTTCCATCCGGCTTCCTGGGCGCGCGCAAGATCTTGAGCCTGCTGCTCCTTGCGGGCAGCGCCGGCGTCGGTCGCAGTCGCCTCGGGAGCTCCTGCGTCAGACATGACGATGAGGGGAGAAGGTAGTAAGTGTAGAAAGTGTAGCTATTGCTTGAACGAGACTGCTAATTGCAGAGTGGGTGAGAGTTGGGGATGTGGGGTATGGGAGTTGGAGGTGGTGGGGAGAAAAGCTTGCGTTGTTTATATGGACAGAAAGGGTAGGAGCTGTGCGCAGTAGCGTCCCTTAGCGCGCTTTCCCAAGGAGATACTGGTGCCTGGGTGACCACGACGATAAGCGAGAGACGAGAAGCTTCCACAATTGAGGTGAGTGAGGATAGGTGAAGGAGATAGTGAAGGGACTGCCGGTATCTGTCCTGCGGTATCGAGATGACATCGACGCACTGTACGATGACGCAGCAGTTTCTGGCAGCAGTGACGAGTGGACTGTCATCCCGGATCAAGCATGAACGACTCGACTCAAATTGAAGAAGCAGCTGGCCATATACAACCCGAGCTCTTATATCTAGTATGAAGGTACAGCGGTGAAGTGACGCTCGAGGCGATAGTCCCATGGTGAGATGAATGGTGAGATTTATGGAGATGGCGAGGCCCGCATGAGAAATTGTATCAGACTGAAAGTGATGTGTTGTTGGGCATGCAAATCGATTTACAACAGTACACATCTGACATGCTCGTTGCCGCTTTCTCACACAACAGGATGAGCACGGAACAATCGTTGCGGAGTGCAGCAAATAGCTATTGGCTTCCTTTCCTCTTACTTTGAACGAAGATGTACTTTTCTGCCTCTCGGATATGTGACAGTCAGGGCGCTTTGCGAATATGAGGACTGAGAAGTGACTTGACAATGAATTGGGAGATGTCGATAAGAATAGAAACGTTGCAATGGGAGATCTTCTTACATGTACACACGTACTGAACCTACCTAGGTATTATCGCATGATTCAGATTCGCAACAAGGCCAGTGTTGTCAAGACTCCGCTTCATCTCACAAGTCGTTGTGTAGGACCAACTTACATTTCCAACCCCTTGTGAGGTAGATGCAATACACACAGCCCAGACGGGCCTGTCTGCACATAGCACGACTCTGTACTGTATGTTACCTGTGACGTGTAAGATAGTACGGAATTGCGGCCGCAAGAAGTCGTAAATATGTAAAGAGATGCAGAAGACGTCTGCAGCAGTCGTCGTTAAGACGTGACCCAAGGAGGACACTATGCCTGAACCGAGCTGGCGTACCGTGCCTGAATCATGGATGGCGGGCCGACTGAACCAGACACGCGATGACGCGCCATGCATGCCGACTCCAACTTCGCTCACAGCCGCAATGCTCGTCTTCTTGACCATGACTTCCGGGATCGCGACGACAGAATGGTCATTGTCGGCTATACGTTCTGCGGTACACAGGGGAAGGCGCTACTGACAGACTTCTCCGCAGCTTCCTGAGCCCCTCGATCGCTCTCACGACCGCGACCGCGACCGCACGACCGCCTCTACGACAGCAACACATATCGGCCGCGTGTGCCATGATAGAACACTATGATGCCCTCACTACTATGCTGCTATTTGCGCGATCTCGACACTACCGACAGCAGCTTCGACAGCAGCCACAGCGCTGGCTCAGACACGCTTACCCACATGCATCGACGGTGCCTTCTCGTCGGTCATAGACACCTAGACAGTTTCGTAGGATCATGCGACTTCGGCTGACAAACAGGGCTGTGGCGCATAGATGTAGCGCTGAGAACGCACACGATACCCAGGAGCACTCTAAAGTGTCGGTGACATCACGTAGCTGCATAGGCTCCAGCGACCAGAGCGACGAAGTATCAGATTATTGTACTGCGGGATACAAAAACCTCTTCGCCATTAGGACACACGCCACCTCACGAGCGACCGAAACTTCTCGTTGAGGAACCCACACCAAAGTCGTCCCTCAGGCGTAGGCCCTTAGCCCGACATCGAAGCTATACCCTTGAAGAGACGGAAACGATCATGGACACGCAGCCATGATGGCGCGCGCTCCCTCTCTATACACAAGGCCACCTGTCGCATCTGTCATGTCGGAATTCGGCCACTGCAATGTGAGCCGCGAAGTCCAAGTGGTCATCAACAACCCTTTCAGATAATGAAGGATACAAGACGTTCCGGGAGTCACAGTCTTAGGCCTAGAAACCCCCCATAGTATGTTTCTTTCAACTAGAAGTTTGTCAGCTTTGTATCTCATGCGTGTTCCAAGAGGATGTTGCCTATCCACCAATGAAAAAGCATTGACTTCTTCCAAGTCGATGTGGATTGGGCTTACTTGTTGCGCTTCCATTTTGCAGGCGGTTTGCCCCAGCCTCCCAAGAGGTTGCTGTAACGACGTGGATCCATATTCGGATCCCACAGCGACTCTCCAGGACGGAGCGGCATGTACTGCTCGTCGCCCCTGGGGCCGTCGGGAACCGGCTTCTTCCTCTCCACCTCTGCAAGACCAAACGGCGGGTATCGCTCGTTGACCTTGGGGACGGTAGGGGCCGCCTTTTTTACCGCCACCTTCTCTGCCTCTTTCGCCGCTGCCTTCTTTCGCTCCGCCTTCTCTTGTTCCGCCTTCTGTCGTTCCTCCCTCTTTGCGAGAGTGACCTTGGTAGGCTCGAAGCCGCCTAGGTCGAAGCGCTTGGTCTTGCCGTCGACGAGACGGTTACCACCGAGAAACATAGCGCCGTGATGCGCGGAAGATCTCGAGTTGTCCATCTGATGTTACGTTGGCGTTACTTAACAGTCGCGGGGGTTAAAGCTTACCGCGGCGGAGACGTGCGATGCAGATATATCTGTTATTATGAATTAGTATGCTATTAGGTCTTCGTTGAGCTTCTCCCTAAATCAGGTAGCATTGTAGACATAGGTAGACTGCTACCCCGCTGTCATGCTTGTGTATGCTCGCGATGGCGCGACCGTGGTCTGATCGGATACCTCGAGGCGACTGCGAGACAGTTGAAGGGCATCGAGAGACTTACGGGTACTTGTGTGTCGGTAGCTGGGGTCCTTATTATAAAGGTGGCGTTGAGAGTGGTGCGGTGATTGTGTTAGGAGCACGAAGCAACAGGCAGATTTGCCTGGGAATGCTCGGACGATCTGTTTGCACCTCCGCACTCACCCCCATCACCTTGTACTTTGCCACCTCTTGGGAGCAGTGCATGCGACGCCGCTAGCCGCTGGCGCCTCCGAGATCCCTCTTGCTCATTGAGCCAGTTCGCCTCTCCGAAGGCAGTCCTCGGATACCGATCGATGTCCCCAGCTTGCGACACGCCTCAGACGGAACCGCTTTTCAACGAGGTCGCGAAGGAAGATAGCAGCAGGCCGAGTCATGCTCACCTGTTGTCTCTCGAGACAGTCGATCATCCAACGAGCATGGACTTGAACAAACAATTGAGATGTCAAGGCGGAGATACAGCAAATAGCCAGCCCGTTCATTAGCTGCCCGAGTCTTAGGGCAATCGGAGAAGTTAAAATGTCCTCAAGCTCGACAGACTGTCCTTAGTAAAGCCTGCAAGAAGTATCGCTGTAAAGCACGCCCCTCGATCTTCTGATATGCTAGGCCAAGTCAGAGTGCCCGCATAGATATGTAGGCATACAGTCCCCTGTGTTGTCACTTGCTCAAGTCTACATCCACCGTACCTTTGATATATTCTTCCAACATTCCTAGGGGCTATGCCTTCTGCATCTCCTTTTGACATGTGTCCCGTCGGCACAGTAAGCTTCTACTTGTGTAGCGTGCAATGGGCTGGCGAGCAACGTCAAGCTCGAAGGCGAGCTCATTATCTAACGCTTGTGAATTGCTGCATAAGATCTGCAGCATAGTTCCACAAAACGACGTTGGGCATCACACACATACGAATGCCCAGAGAGCTAAACATGTAGCCGAGTCAGCCGCTAAACGCGAGGCTGTCACGCATGTAGTTTAGGCGAAGCTTCTACAAAGTCGTTACCCTATGAATTTCGGGCCGACTTGGTATTCTAACAGTACATCATACCAATGCATTCCACCGTCTATCGTAAACAATTCTACGTTTGGTTTTCGCTGATGTTGTGCCTGAAGCCACCCGAAATTGGTGGCTTGTTAAAGTTAGCGAGACCTACGTCATCACTCCCTGACTTCCCTGGCGTTGTCCACGCGACAACCCGCGCATCTTGGTTATCTCACATGCACGCCCCTCGTGCACATACCTGCAGGAGATCTCCAGATCTCCAGATTTGATTTTCTTCCTTTACACAACATGCACCCAGACTCGTTGTTGTCTACTGCAGTCTTCACCACACTACCAATTGACTGACAATGAACGACCCCGGCCTCGACGAGCCAGCAGGCGCAGCAGCGCAAGATGTTAATGACACAGTCCACGACGAGGACGAACAAGCTGAGCAGGAAGAGCGGGAATATCTCGATCCAAGTTATGTCGCTCAGTACTTCGACGTCTCTCTACGTACGCTGACAAACCCAGTCAATGGTGGTTTGCCTCCACGGCGAGTCCCCTCATAGCAGGAACATTCGGCCCCATCGCCAACGGCTTCTCCATCTGCGCCCTCGTTGAAAAGTGGAGAGTATACATCCCGCCGGGAAGCGACGAGGGACACGGCTCGAAGATTACGGATCCGAAATGGCTTATCGCGGTCAATTCAGTTTCGCTCGTCTTCGCCTTGAGCGCCAACATCAGTTTGCTGCTCAACATGTCAAGGAGACTGACGTTTGAGATTGCGCAACCTATCACTATCATCGGCTTCTATCTTGCTGGTTTCCTTTTGATGGCGCTCGTGGGGGTCGCTTCGTCATCTGTGTTCCGGATTCAGCCTATGGAAGAACATGCTCTCAGCCAAGCGTATTACTACGCTATCATCGCTGCGGGTATCTACTTCATCATTGCTTCGCTTATGGCTTTTACTGCTTTCGGAGCGTGGAAGGGACATTACGCTAGAGACTTCCGGCTGACGGCCAGTCAGAGGACGCTGATGCTGCAGACAATCGCCTTTATGGTCTACCTGCTTATCGGCGCTCTGATATTCTCATACGTCGAAGGCTGGATGTTCCTGGATGCCGTGTTCTGGGCCAACTTTACCCTTCTCACAATAGGTTTCGGCGGGGAGTTTGTGCCTAAAACGCATACTGGTCGCTCACTCCTCATTCCATATGCAATTGGTGGCCTAGTCACAGTTGGTTTGGTCATTGGTTCTATTCGATCTCTTATTCTAGAGCATGGAAAGCAAAAGATGGCTGCTCGCTTTATGGAAGTCAAAAGACAAAAGGTTCTCAAGTCTATCGATGGCGACACGCAGACGATACGCATCTCACTGTGGGAAAAGGTCGAGTTCTCCTCGAAAGGTTTGACAGAAGCACAGAGACGAGAGCAAGAGTTCCACATCATGCGCCGCGTGCAAACACTATCCGAGCGCAAGAGGCGATACACCGCGTTAGCTCTATCAACCACAGCAGCGATGCTTCTATGGTTCCTAGGCGCTCTAGTATTCATGTACTCCGAAAAGCCGCAAGGATTCAGCTATTTCGTCGCCCTCTACTACGCCTACGTCTCGCTCCTAACGATTGGTTACGGAGACTACGTCGTCGAAAGCAATGCCGGAAAAGCCTTCATGGTCTTCTGGAGTCTACTGGCCGTCCCCACACTAACCATTCTTATCTCCAACATGGGCGACACAGTCATCAAAGCCTTCAAAGACTTCACCATCTGGCTCGGCTCCCTCACCGTCCTACCAGATGAGGAAGGGCTCAGCGCCGCGCTCAAAGTGGGATGGACGCGCATCAGATCCGGCAAGATAGGCGAAGAAGAAAAGACAAGCTCCGCCAGTCCTACCGAACACCGCATTGAGGACCGGCTGGCAGCATACATAGAAGAAGAAGAGCTAGGCAAAACGGAAGAGGTCGGCGAACACGGCGACTATCTCGAACGCGACATCCGCTTCTACCACTTCGTCCTCGCAAAAGAAGTCCGCAAACTGATGAAAGACGTCGAAAGCTCATCGTCAAAACAATACGAGTACCACGAATGGCAGTACTACCTGCGTCTAATCGGCCAGGACGAAAACGATCCTTCGCACCACCGCCAGCCCAAAGCCAACACTCCACACAAGCACGATGATGGCGAAGCTCCTGATATCGGCTCTGCGGACGATGGGAAGAAGCGTGCTTGGAGTTGGCTGGGGATAAGGAGTCCGCTCATGGGCAATCAGTCCGAACCCCAATGGCTACTGCAGCGTTTAGCGATGAAGTTGGAATCCGAGATGCGCAAAATGAGTTCGTCTGACCAGAAGGTGAGGAAGGCGAAACCACCCATCTCCATGGCAGAATTGAGAAAGCGCAAAGGTAGTGGGAAGGCGTCTGAAGAAACGCAGACAGGGACGTTGCAGGAGGATGTCGAGGCTACGGCGGTTGGTCAGCGTGATGTCAAAAGTGGTTGATGCTGTGAAGGGGGATGTCTGGGGACGTTTATGTGAAGTGCATGGCACGGCGTTTGCAAGTAGTTATCGCTGAGGGGTATACATACATTTTCTACTTCCTCTTCCGTACATATAATTTCGGCAGCTTTGATACATAACCTTCTACCGCCCTAATATATTCGTAGTATCACAATCTCCCCCATGTCCTCCACACCACCCACCCCCCTCCCCACTCTCTATCTGTTACCCCCTCCCGCCCTCCTCCCCTCCCCACACACCCCCAAAATCGAACCCGCATCCCTCGCCATCAGCGCCCTCCTCGGCTCTCTCGCCCTCGTCTTCATAGCCATATTCCTTATCAAGAATCCCAGCGGCAACTTCCTGGACAGTACAAGCGGAACGCCGTCGGAGGAGCAAGCAGAAAAGCACCTCAGCATCAGCAGCCCCCTGGATGCTGTGCTGCGGCGGAATGGAAATGATGGGATGGGGCACCCGATACCGAGGTTGTGGTCTGGGTTTTCGAGCTCGAATGAGGAGATTGAACGGTTTGGGCAGGGGGGTAGGGGGGAAAGAGAAAGAGAAAGGGAGGAAGGGGAGAGGAGGAGGGTGGTTGAACTCGCCAATACACCGGCTCGCATGCCAGATACGTCGCACAACACTACACTAGCATACCCGCCATATCCTGTTGAGTTGGACGTTCTCCCTCGCTCACCTCAGGGCATCCATCACCGTTATCCAGATTCGTACGCTGGTCGTCCTATACCACCACCACCGCCACCTCCCAAAGTCCCCATTCCAATACCCCAACACGGCCCCAACCCCAACATCCACACCACCAACTACACCACCACCAACAACAGAGACCATAACGGCGAAAGTTCACGTCCCCCTCCCCTACGCCCCGCCCCCCGCAACCCACGCTACTCCTTCGGCGACGACGACACGACCGTCGTAGGCGATAAAGCGGATGTCGAGACTCTGCGGAGTGATTTGAGTTTTCCGGATACGGATTCGGATAGGGGTTCGGATAGTGCGAGTTATGAGGAGGGAGTGGATGGGAGGAAGATGGGGTTGGTGGGTAGGCATTGGGAGTGAGTAGGATGGGAAGAATGAGTAGGGTGGATCGAGTGGATTGGGTGGGGGAGGAGGAGGAGGAGGAGGAGGGGGAGGAAGGTGTGACGGTAGTAATACTTGGAGTAGGAGAGGGAACAGGAATGTGCAAGACAATGTATCTCATCTCAGAATACCGATTATCTCATAAGAACGCAACTCTGAATCCAATCCAGAACGTCCTTTATTTCAGTCTCCCAAAGTCCGCCCTAACATCCACATCCCCCTCCTCATCAACAACCTTCCCTCTATCCCACTCCCTCCCCTCCCCCTTCTTCCTCCACACCACATCCTCCTCCCCCTGCACATCCCCCCTCTCCCACTTCCTCACCTGATCATCCGTAAACCCAGCTTGTTTCAGTCGATCAGCGCCTTGTTGCTGCCAGCGCGCTCGGTCACGCAGTGCTTCTAGGGCGTCGCCCCAGTCGTCTTCTACGTCGGATGCCGGGCGCACGTCTGTGGTGGGATCGTACGTGGAGGAGAAGCGCGATTCGATGCCGCCGTTTTGCGGTTTGTACGCGTTGCGGCCTTTGGAGCGGACGGGCGGTGAGCGCGGGGGAGGGAGGGGTCCGACGATGGCTTCGAGGGGGTCGGAGGAGGAAGATGCTGGGGAGGGCGTGCGTTTGGTGGTATGCCGGCTGGGTTTGGGTGGTCTGGAGGTGGTGGATTTGCGTTTTGGGCTGAGGGAGCGAGTCCGGTCTCGGTGTCGGCTGTGTGTTCTGTGCTTTGAAGAATGAGGTGAGCGTAATCGTGATCGTGACCGTGAAGATGTTCGGCGGTGCGATGTGCGCCCTGCGTGCTCGCGGTCCTTGTGGTCTCTTCCCCGGGGCTTGTAGCGTTCTTGCTCTTTGGTGTATTTGTCTTTACGCGATCTGTCTCGGGGCGACTTTGATCGTCTCCGTTTCCGCTTGGAGTGGTCTTCGTCTTCACTATCGTGTCTCCTCTTGTGCCGGTGTCCATCTCTGCTTCGGTCTCGATGCCGGCGAGATATCGGGGTCGTCGAACCTTCTGCCTCTGTTTCACCGCGCCTCCTCTTACGCCTATCCTCATCCTTGCCGCGATCTTGTCGTCTGCTTGACTCTGCTTCGCATCGGTCGACGTCGCTTCCTGATGGCGCCAACCGTTCCTGGTTGCCTGCGCTTTCGACATCGCGTCGGCCTGGCGCCCATGCATCCCCTTGTCCTGCCGCCTGTCGTTTCTCCCAATCCATCATCCTGAGTCGGGCGCGAGACTCGGCGGCCTCTTTGGCAAGGAGCGCAGAGTTGTGGCTGTCAGTCTGTCGGATGAGATGTTGCAGGAAGCCCTTGTTCGGTCTAGGTGCGCGAGACTTCATTCTACAGTGCATTAGCACGAGCAGTCTCATAATGGAGTGCTCATGTACTTTCAACGCTCATGCGATTGCACAGCGTGTACGGAGGCTCATGACGCACCTCGGGTTGAAGGCATCGATGCCAACGAGTTCGTATTTCTTCGTCGCATTCTTCGCATCTTCTTTCAGCAGCTCTGCAATGTACGCGTCGTCGTTCAGGTCCCTGGCCATGGTGGGCGACTGTTGTTGGGGTGGAGAGGAAGTGTCGCAGAAGTGTGACCTTGAGAGATCCCGGGCGGCCATGTGAAATCATTCCACGCGGCGGGCCGTGCTAGCTGCATGCGGTAGTCGCCGCGGGGAACTCAGCCCTACGCGGGCATTCGCGATCCCAAACAAACATTCAATCCTCCAATTCATACACGACAAACACAATGGGACCCAAGCGGAAATCAGCAGCGCCAACACCAGCCGCAGTGTTGGAACAGTTGCAGCAGTCAAAGTCACTCAAGCTCCTGGCTATTGCAGAAACACTGTCGCCAAAGGATCTCCCACAGGCCGCGAAGAAGCGCAACTCGGCAGCGTCGGAGGACAGCGAGCAGAACGGCGACACTCATCCAGCTGCCCTCGAGGCTGATCTGTTACATTACAAAGTACGCGTCTTCGGAATGTCATGAGAGAGATACAGGCCTGACACGGTTGCAGGAACTCTTCAGCAAGCTACGCTTCAGCTACGTCGAGCAGGTCACCAAGGAGAAGTTCCTGCGCAGCATAACGGAGAACCCACCCCGCCTGGTCGACGCTCACGAGAACGACGAGAAGGAAAAGGAGATACTGGGTCTCAAGGCAGAGCTCAAGGAGCGCAAGTTGGAGGTAGCCGAGATCCTGAAGCAGCTGGAAGACAAGGGAAAGGAGCTCGCACTGCGCTATGAGGGTCTCCAACTACGCACGCAACAGCTCGAGTCACTTCCGGCTGAAATCGCAGGCCTGGAAGCGACCATTGAGCAGCTGAAGCACGAGCAAACACCAGTCTCGACGAACCCTGAGCTGTCTCTCCCACTTCCAGAAACTCAGCGAGTGCTCAGCGAACGGGAGGCGGAGCTCGCAGCCCTGAATGCGCAGATCGCAAGTCTGCAGGCTACCATCCCGAACCGAACCAGAGATTTGGAGAAGCTGGAGCGCGAGCTGAGGCCGCTGGAGACTCAGAAACAGGGAACCGTCGCGGCAGCTAGAGAGGCCCGGAGACGGAAGGAAGAGGGCGGTGGCATCGGAGATGAACTAGAAGAGAGAGGCAGATGGCTCCGAGCGTCTGAAAAGGCGCTAAGGGACATGTTGGATGTTGAGGGATGACGTCCTTGCGGTGAGCGTGTGTTGGGCTTGTTACGGCGTTTGGACTCGAGATACCACTGCTTGAAACGACTTTTTCTCTGCGCATTCGACTCGTGTTAATCCGTGTTCTAATTCGTGGCACTGCACCTGCGAACACGGTGCTTGAGCATGTCCCCTAAGGCCTAGTGACGGTTCGCCTCACTGCCAGCGCATGCGCGCCCAAGAGCAGCGTGCCGAGCTAATCAATCGGCCTCGGAAACCAGAAATTCGAGTCGTCTCAGAATCTGGGCGGCTGGGTGCAGGGGTGCGGCGGGCTGTGGTTGGCCGGCCCCAGCCACTCACCGCCCTTCAACCTATCGATTACGTTGCCAGGCCATTCCACCCATAAACATGCGGCTGGTGGAGCCCTCGACGAGCTAATTGAGCTGGCTACCGATTCCATCCTTTCGTGACATCTGCAGCTGCAGCACCCAAGAGAAGTCTTTCGCTCCCTGCAGTCACGGAAACCGCTTCTTCCCATCGACGTCCATTGCACGGCGCCAGGAGCTGACGTTCCCCCACCACCGCGAGCTGTCCAACCGGACACGCTCTACACGACTACACGACTATACCGCCTCGTTCCGGCCTACTTTCGCCATTCTTACGCCTGTCACGACGTTACGACTCTCTGTTTCCACGTATTGTTGCTTGCCTGCGTTGTTAGCGAGAATCCGGTTTTCTGTCGTTACCTCGTCCGTCAGCCTGGTGTGTTTAACGACTTACGCACCTACTTTACGACTGTTCTGAAGGAATTGGCCATTGAGCGCGAAACGAAACATTATTGCGATAATGTCGAACCAACTCTCGGACCCCGGGTCGAGCGTCTACGACTCGGCCACGATGCATGTGGGAGATGGCACATGGGACTCGCAGCGCAACACTTTTCTGCTGCCCAACTTGCAAGCCCCCAATTTTGAGACGATGCGATTGAATGGTAAGAATTTTCGTTGTTAAAAAGACGACAGAGACTGACTACTCAGGTATGGGCAATCGCTTCCGCAGCATGGCCAGCTACAAGGCTCTCATCATAGCCCACGGCGTACTAGCAGTCATTGCTTTCCTATTCGTAATACCCGCAGCTATCTTCATGGCTCGCTTCTACCATCGCAACCCTCGAACCGCCCTGCGAGTCCACATCTGGTTGCAGGTAGCAGCAGTCCTACTTTCGACTGCTGCCATCGTCTGCAGCTTCCAAGCCGTTGGCCTCGAGAGGTCTCTGACCAACCCTCACCACGGC